GCCCAGCACTGTGTTGGCTTTTTTGGCAGCTGCAGCACACTGCTGGCTCATATTTAAGTGATTGTCCACTAGAACTCCGAGATCCCTCTCACAGTTACTACTATTGAGCAAGGTACCCCCTATACTATACCTGTACATTTGGTTTTTCTTGCCTAAATGTAGAACCTTACTTTTTTCACCATTGAATTTCATTTTGTTACATAGCGCCCAGTGTTCAAGTCTGTCAAGATCCTTCTGTATCTTAAGCCTATCTTCTGGAGTGTTGGCTATTCCTGCCAGCTTGGTATCTGCAAATTTGATGAGTTCCCCATCTATCCCCTCGTCCAGATCGTTGATGAAGATGTTGAAGAGCACTGGGCCCAGAACAGAGCCCTGGGGCACCCCACTGCAATGAAGCTCCTGTTTATATTTTTTTAGCCCAATTCTGTTAAATAAATGTAAGTGGAGGCAAAATTATTTTCTGTTTGTGTGTGTGTGTGTGGGGGGGGATATGGCACTTTTAAGAGAAAATCACTGGCGTAGAAAAGATTAATAATTCCCACTCAGCTAATGGGCTTTTATGTTAAACTGATAAACACACAATTTGTGTTTACACAATTCTTAATTAAACATTGTATGTATTTATATGGTCTATTTCTCACTGAGATAATAAATCTGGACTATAACTAGAAATTTATATTTCAGACCATTTTGCAATTTCCTTTTAAAAATATCTATATCTGCACACGTGAATATCAAGAAAATAATCTAGATAGGAACTCTCATTTTACAGGATTTCCCTCTAACATATATGTCTCTAATTATAGTTTGACGATATGCAGTGAAGATACAAGATTTGCTCATTTGATGTTTGTGAAAACAAGGATTATCCTATTTGAATTGCAAGTTTTAATTCAATAGTAATTCTCAAGCAGTTGAAAAATGTTTGTGCTCCTGGATAAATTGACAAAATCTCAGTATATTCCAACATTCTGGCAGCTAATAACTAAAAGCCATGAAAATATGTATCAGCTGTGTAGTCTATTTCATGTTTTCAACAAATGATATATTTTTAATAGATTGCACAATTTTTAAAATGTCAACAGTATTACTTAGTGATGAGGAATGTAGAAATCCAATCTTTGGAGATGGCTGGACGTCTTCTTTGCTTTTTGGGAGAGTTAGCTGTCTGTGTTCATCATCTTGGTACGATAACCTGTAATTGAAAATGCCATGTTTTTCCAAAATATACGAATTAGCCAACATGTTGCACAGTTCTTAAAGAGGAACACAGCCTCCTCTATCAGATTTAATTAGGTTAATGTCAAACTATATAATGTAGGGTTAGTGGTCTAATCCCCAAATCTGCAGATTTTGCCTCTCAGTTCTGTTCCAAATAGCAAGCTGTTACTCATTCTATAATGGAATGATGAAATATTTGAGAATGATGTTTTAGTATGAGTTTCTTTATGCCTTAGTTTTCAACCATATTTCTTCCTTAAATAGTCTACCATACTAATTATATGCACAATAGTATAGTTAGGAATACATTGGTAATTCATCCAAAAATTAGGAATATATTGGTATGTGGGAGCAGGTTTTTATAACCTCCAGCAATTGACAATCCAAGTATCAGATTCTTCTCACTATGGAGAACTAATCTGGGAGCTAGCTAGTGGTAAAATCCAGAAATAATTCCTTTATGGGTATGATATACATATGCCTAGCTTTATGACTTACTTATTTATTTTCATACTACAGCACTAAGTTATTAATTCAGATAACATGATTTGCCTACAAATACTATACACGCTTGTTCCCTCTCCCCCCCTATCTTTGTATATTCTATTATCTGAAACAGCAAATGACAATTTAAACTATGGTATAAATATATGGAAAAATTATTAATGTATTTCTAATCTGGAACTATTGGAAAGGCAAGACTGAATTTTGTGATTTCACTCCTAAAAATTCCAAAACAACTTGTATACTGCAATAAAATACTCACATTTCAGGTGATAACAAATTTGGTTCACTACAATATTCAGTTTCTTCATTTAATTGCTCACTATATGTTTCATCCTCCTGAGGAGCTTCCTCTTCACTAACAATTGCTACTTGGCTGTCTCTGGAATAGGATCTAATAAGCAAAAAAATCAGAATGATTTATGGTTACTGAAGAAAATCTAGAAATTCTGCAGTGGAAACACTGATTCTGTTGCATTATTTTTAAACCGCTCCTGGCAAAATTAACTTATAAGAAAACTTATCTGCCTATCCCAAGTCCTTGGAAAGGACTTGTAGGTGGACAAAAATGCAAAATCTAGTCTGAACATCTGGCTGCTTGTGCAACAAACCATAATATATTAAATGTATATACTATCTGACTCCCAATGACTCTGGGCAGTTTACAATTGTTAAAGCATTTAAAAACAAAGAACAATGTGAAAACATAAAAACAGCACAAGACAAAAGAACAAAATGGCAAATAAACCCAGAAGAGAACAAAAAGGAAGAAAGGAGTGTTAGTCTTCTTTTTAAGGTTCTTTAAAATATTAACACAGTAGGAACCATTCAAATTTTGAGGTGAACCTTATTCCAGATAGCATTATTTGGAACCCAGGATGTGCCAACCCTGCCAAACTGAATTGGTCTGGCAAACGAGATACAGATCTCCTGTGTGGAAATTAATTTGGAAATGGGGAAGCAAGATATGAAGCATCTGCCTTAGATTTCCTGTTCATCATGCTTGTCCGTACTTCTGAAACAGAGTAATAATAAAGGTTTTTGAAGAAACAAATCTAAACCTACATCAATACTCAAATGGTCTATTAGTATTGCTCAGGGCTCATGTATTTAATTGCATTTTATCTTGTTGGGAGTGTAGCTTTTAAATTGCTTTGCTTCCAGCAAACCTAAATACACATCTTCTTAAAGCATTTATTTTGCCATTACTATCCTCTCATTGGTATTTGGTGAATCAAGTGCATTACTGTGAATTAACTGAAACAACTGCCACTGTTTTATTCTGAGTTTAGGAATAAAGCAGAGGGACAGATGATTAATGCTTTCCGTGTATCTAATTTTTTTGCTATTTTTTTTTAAAAACAAGCTAGTTGTAAGTGCAACTGTGATTCAGGAAACAGCACAGGAAGAACAAATTGATCCCTGCCACTGCTCCAAAAAGACTGTCAATTCACATAACAGCATTCCAGCGATGATTATTTTTTTATTGATTAGATGTATGTAGCTATCTGACGTATAATCATGACTCTAGGTGGCAGTATACCCAANGGCCACAACCCTTTATCATGTTGCTGTGGCCAGTCTTGTGTACAATGTGTTGCAGATGATGTGGAACAGGGTCGAGAAGATCTAATTGATGAATGACTACTTTGAAGAGGACTCTGACCTCCAACTGATAGTGCCTGTAGACAGAAAACATGATAAATTAGTGTGTCAGCAACATTGTGTTTCAGAACATGGGGAAAAAATGAACCAAATATTTTTCAAAAAAGTTCAGCTTAACTTGGAGCTGGCTGTAGTTGAATAATGATATTCCGTTAACCTGCTGTTCTATATTTCATATTGACAATGTCCTCAATCTTATAGAAAACTAAAACATAGATCAAAAAGTAACTTTAACAAAAAATGAATGAATGTCTGCTCTTCACCTGTTTGTAACTTGAAACTTATTAATTGAACAAGGATAATACATGGCTCTGATTATTCTTGTATATACCGTAATACCATTTAGAATTTGATGGACAGTTTAATGGATTTTAAGATAATTTACGTATACTTTATACATGGGAGTGATTCTATCATTTTTTTCTGAATAGAGAAGAGTGCCATTCATTTGAAACTAGTGTGCTTGCTGGGAAGCTGTGTTTGTGTAAACTAGCACCTCTACATGATATGTAGATAGTCACCATGATTTCTATGACAGATTATTATAACAGAGATTTCTCATTATATTGTTTTAAGACATTGTAACATCATGCTCTATTTTAAATTCTCCAGTTCCATGATTTTATTACACTCTTTGGCCAATATAAAATAAAATCATGTCGGAGTGAAAATTGCAGCACAAAATTTGCCCATGTAACATGACAGCTGAATTGTTACTTGCATTGAGTAAAAATTAAGCCATATTAAATGTTGTATTTCTGTATCAATAATTATTATCTATTAATGAGAGAAGTGAAAAAGTCATTGGAATGTAGTTTAGTTTAAATCAATAGTTGACTAATAAAAATCAAACTTTGACTTCAACTCTGATCAGACCTGCTTGAAATCATAGTGCTGTGTTAATGGAGCTATATAGTAGTTGGCTGGAGTTTAGCCTCAAAAAACTTTGATGGCTGCTAGGATCCAACGTCTATCTTTAGCTATATAAAAAAAAGAATAGATAAAGCATTCCCATGGACATTGTTAATAACATCCCTTCTTATGCCACTCATGAATCTGTTACATGGAAGGTCAATCTGTAAAATCTGGGAAAGATTGTATTAAAGTGTTAAAATACTGTGTCATCAGGTTTAGTAGCTGGAAGAGAAAATTATCATTTTCTCTTCACTGTGCAAAACCCCAGCTATAGTTTACTATAGCTCATGAAGAAAAATATAAACTGCTTATCTCATGAAAGCCAAATGGCATCTTTTGCCATTTGGCTTTCATAAGATAAACACCATTTATATTTTTCTTCATGAGCTATAGTAAACTTTGTCCCTGAAAACTTCTCAGTCTTCCAAGTGGGTGATTCAATTAAAAATGACACCTTAAAGACTCTTGTAGTACTTTATCCAGGAACAAATATATTATGGCATGGGTGTTAGTGGTTATGGCTATAGTCCATTTCATCACATGCAGTTGATACCATAATAATTTGTTTGTTTTCAATTTTTGATAACTCTTGTGCTGTTGGGAGTTTGCTTTAGGAAAGTCAGTAAGTCATCTAATATAAAGATCTTACCCTCTAAGCTATCTTCAATTACTTTTCCAATTCTGTAGAATTCTGTAGTGATATTTTAAGCAGATAGCTTATTATTTGTAATATTAATTTGATTTTACTTTCACTAATAACCTTTTTATTAGATGTATACATTGGACATTAGATACATATATCTTATTAAATACATAGACTCAGATTAGAAAATTAACCATACCATTTATGATCAAAAGATCAGATTGTGTACCTTATTTTTTAAATGCAATATGATTCAAAGGATAGCTGTTTCTAGATGCAAATACTCACTTGACGATGTAATAGATGCAAAGGTAATGTTATTTTCTGGGAGACACCCGCAGTCTGATTTTTCTGTCTCTTTAGACACTCCAGATGAAAGGATGCTCTTCGATCTAGAAAGCCAATTACACAGTATGAAAATAGATTAATCCAACTGCATAATCATTGAAAGAGCATTAGCCTATGAAGCAGACACAGGTATCAAATATAGGTAGCCCTTGACTTATGACTAGTCACTTAAGCGACTGTTTGAAATTACAATGGACCTCCCCAGAGCTATTATGATACAATTTCGAAGTTCTGATGGCTGCCTCCCCCCACGGTCATCTGACTGCATTTTGGATGCTTGACAACTACCCTTCATTTATGGCTGTTTGCAGTGTCCTGCGTCCTGTGACTGAAACTAGCATTTACTTCTAGTTGCTGGGGAAAAATGCCCACTGGGTACCATGGTTTTGCTTAATGTCCATGGAGTTTGTTTAATAACCACAGTGTTTGCTTAATGACCACTGCAAAAACATTATAAAATTGGTGCGCCATAACATGGTGACCCACTTAACAACCAGCATGATTTATGACTATAATCCCGGGCTCAATTATGATCATATGTTGAAGTATCACACTTCCCTTGTATCACTGATAGGACTCTGTTACTTGTTTTCATGACATAATAATAATAATGATAAAGTTGGAAGGGACCTTGGAGGTCATCTAGTCCAACCCCCTGCTCAGGCAGGAAACCCTATATCATTTTGGACAAATGGCTGTCCAGTTTCTTCTTAAAAACTTCCAGTGTTGGTGCATTCACCACTTCTGGAGGCAGGTTGTTCCACTGGTTAATTGTTCTAACTGTCAGGAAGTTTCTCCTTAGTTCTAGGTTGCTTCTCTCTTTGGTTAGCTTCCACCCGTTGCTCCTTGTCCTGCCTTCAGGCGCTTTGGAAAATAGC